AAAATTTTGTTATACGAATTTGAATGCGCAGGTGTAATTTTCTAGAATCCTTTTCTTAGGCCCGAAAAATAGTGAGTAAATACACTTAGGCTGCGCCCGTGTTTACCCTCGGTTGCACGGGCTGGTGAAGCTTGACGGCCTGCATAGAGCCTATAGCTCTCCTCCTAACTCGCTGCTCAAGGTTAAAACATCAGCATTGAAGATCTTGATGATACATAGATATTTCTGATGCATCTTGTTCATCTCATTATGTGTCAATAATGGATAATTGTATATAGAAGTTTTTTCGATGGCTTAGCTTGAGTCTGGATACTCTTTCTGTATATGTTTAATGGTGGATTTAATGAACTGATTATGGGACTGTCGTGCCTTGTATGTCTGATGGTGAATTTATGGGACTGATTGTTCACGACCTCAAATGAAATAATGATAGATATAAAAAAATTCTGCTGCATGTGCGGTAAAGAGTTGTGTCGAGTCATGATCCGAAGCAGCCGTTGACCAGATCTCAAGGCGCTCAGTGTCAGGATAAGCCGAAGAAGCTCCTTTGATGGCCATGTTGACGCAACTCGGTAAACATTGCGTCATCCTTGCTGGTTTGACGCCGAGATTTCATTACGAAATTCAACGCAGTCATTGTGATTGTTTTGAAGTTGATTTGAAGTTGAGACTCCTTGCAGCTGCTGCACGATTTTTATATCAAAAGAATAGAAATTAATGGCGTTTGTGCATTCTCAGCATCATTGTTTGATTGTTAATTTTCATAGATAAAATGCTGGTTCGCGTGATATCAATCAAAATCACTAAATCCAAAGAATGAGAACATGATCCTTCACAAAAAAAAATGTTTTTTTTACGATATTGCGGTTGCGATATTGAAGGTTCTAAAATGAGAAACGTCTTTGCTACGTTCAACAGTTTCTTTGTTAGCTTTTCTGCATTCAACGAAGAGGATATCAGCAAGCGTACAGACCAGGGTCCATAGTATCAAAACACGCTAAGTGAACGTACTCACGCTTATATATATTACTTACGCTCTATTTTCTTGTCTATGATTGGTAGATTTGGCTTGAAAGGCCCTCAATGATTGGCTGATGAACTTACGATCTCTTAATTTTTTTTTCTTTAAGTACGGGCCCAGGGATGACTGACCGCGTGACAATGAATGAGCCGAAGAGGGCGTGGTGCCATCGTGCAGCCGTTCCTCCGCGACTGTTATGCCTCCAGGGGGGCTTGATGTGTGCTAAGAGAGGCGCATTGTCACGCTTAGGGGGCGCAGTGTCATGCTCAGCCTCGCGCAGGGGGCGCAGTGTCATGCTCAGCCTCGCGCAGGGGGCGCAGTGTCATGCTCAGCCTCGCGCAGGGGGCGCAGTGTCATGCTCAGCCTCGCGCAGGGGGCGCAGTGTCATGCTCAGCCTCACTCTGGTTCAGATCGCGTGTGCATCGTAGGCCTACGTCCATGTATAGACTGCCAATATTCACGGCAATATCTTCACTAGAATCTCCCGTCCCCGCTGGCCTTGTTCTGCCGACTCGGGACTCCCCCAGCCTGAATTCTTCTCGTCTTGTATTATGTATACTCATTATTATGTATTATGGACGCTTGTACTCATGTATTATGTTCGTACGTGGTTTTTGCGCTTTTCTAACTCCACTTAGCGCCGATCATAATTTCCTTTGACTCCAAACGTTTCATTTTCCGCAATATGTCTATTTACAATCGTTTTCTTATCTTCAGTCTTATCTTCATGATGCTATGTTATACTCCTGAAATTGGACTAGAGATATCGTGCGTTACGAATAAGTGCAGGCTGATGTCCAGATATTGAGGTAATGTGCTCGACTGTTCGTAAATTCCATGTGCTTGTTGGCAATCTTAAAAGTAGTTATGTTTTTAGGAACCACAAAATCTCCTACCGTTCAAAGCTCTGCAGTTGAAAATTCAGATTGGAAAAGTATTTTCTGGATTATTACTTACAGTATGCATGATTTGGTTCCTTTATGATTGAAGTTTGATCGTTTCGTGGCAGCTTCAATCCTAGATTTTTACTTCGACCATAAATTACTCGGCATCCGCATTTCTGCTGTAGTTGCGCCCGGTAAGATTATTATTACAATGTCTGATATTTGTGAGATTGCATTGTTTGGAATCTTGTTCTCAAGTTTCTAATCAGTTTTTGTCCCACTGACGATACTGGCTCGAATATTTTCTCCTTTTAATCCAGTTTAGGATTTATGCTCCAGCTTTTTATTTCGATTGAATTTCAAATTATTCAACTGGTCCGTGGATAATTTGCCTTGTATATTGAGCGCCGACTGCTATGTAAATGTCACCCTTTTTGTTCTTCATGTTATTTATTTTATCCGTTTTTATTTGCTTATTTTATCAGTTTTTATTTATTTATTTTATTGGTTTTTAATTTTTTTCGTTAATTTTTTATTTGTCCTTCAATTTTATTTATCCGATCAGAAAATGTTTTAGAACGATCAAAAAAATGCGAATTTCAACCATTGATTTACGATAAAGTAAAATTACGAATAAAATTACGAATATATTTTTATTATACTTCACCGGGAAAACAAAAATTTTCTATTAGTTCTTTATCTGAATTGTCATTATATGAACTTCTTTGCAATTGCAATGAAAATAAATGCTTTTACCGGCACTCTTCACGAACACGAAATTTACTGTAGTATTTCCTGATGCAACAATCAGTAATTTGTTGCATTCGATATTCGTAATAACAAGAAGAGAATTTGAACCATCTTAAAACACACGCTCAACACTCGAGTTTCGCGCGTGCCTTTGCTGCTCATTTTTTAAAATATGCACTTGTATGTATGCATTATCAGAGCTCTACCAACCACCGGTCAAACGAATGCCATGGTACGGTGACGCTAAAAGTTCGATGATATTTTCGTATGAGTGAGTATTCAAGGTGAGAAATCCAATTTACTGGAGCAAAACATAAGAGGAAAAGAACCGAAGTTCCAACCACCGAAACACATGCTTGAAATAATTATGAAGTTTTCTGGATTGTCATATTTTCCAAGTGTGCAATTATTTCCTTGCTGAAAGTATTGGGTGCCACTTCTGTGGTTACTTGATTTTATGTGAAATTCCAATTACTAATAACTTACTGTAATTGCCACAGTAAATATGCTTGTAGTTTCAAGTTACAGACACAATAGTGGCGTGTAGAAGCAGCGGCTACGGCAGACACATTACTGGCGTGTAGAGGCAGACACATCACTGGCGTGTAGAGGCAGACACATCACTGGCGTGTAGAGGCAGACACTTTTTTTAACCTAATAGATATGCAAACTTTTCAAATCTTTCTATTGTGTTATGTAGCCTCAGTATTAGGCCTTTAATGCCCATTGACAAAATTTTTCTATGTCAAATAGTTTTTGAGTTGTGGGGGTTTTTGTTAAAAAAACGAAAAGCGGTCTAAGTTACCCCGCCGGTCTAAGTTACCCCATTTTACGGTAATCAAAATTCTTTGGTGTTAATTGATTTTTTCATTAACTGGCGCCTTTGCTGAGCAAGGTTCTATTGTAAATGCAATTTTAGGGGTGTCCCTTATTACCCCGTTTTGCGGAAATGGCCACCATTTTTTCTTGGAATGATATATGCAAATTCTGTCAATCGCGTTTTTAAAATAACACTAGTGTGCAACTTTTATGTAAGTAAAAATTTTCAATACGACAAATATTTTTTCTGCTACAGACCTTAGCAGAGGTACTTTTCCAAAATCTCACTTTTCACACTTTTTTCAGGGATTTTTTTAGAGGTAATAAATGTATGATTTCTCAACTTGCTTTATGCTGCATAGATAGTAAAAATGTTGAACTTTACACCACTATTTTTAGTTTTGCAATATTTTAGTTAGTTTAGCTGCTACAACATTTCTACAAAATGTTGTAGGACTGTCCCTTTTTACCCCGCCTGTCCCTTTTTACCCCATTTGACGGTATATCTATTTTTGAAACGTTCTTTACAATGTTTGTTAAAGCTGGCTAGAAATTAGGAAATGCAAATGCTTCACCATATCCTCCCGTCAAATTTTATCCAATGCAGTTAGAATGGGCTTATCTTTTCCTACTTCAAAACTCGTGTTGTGTCTTGCATCATCTGACTATACTATACCTATTATATATCTGGGCTGAACTGGTAAAAAATCTAATATAAAAATCATGAGACATTAAATAACATAAGTAAAAGTAATAAGTAAGTAAAGAAGGCATTTAATAGAAAAGCGGCTCTGGTCTGACTCTGCATTCAAAGTCCTAAGATAATAAGATTCCCTCTCATGGCTGAATGCAGGCAACAAATGTTATACAAAAAGCTGAAATTTGCAAATCTTGATGTAAAAGCTCTGCCATGAGGAGCTTTATGTAGGCAATAAATTTCACTGTATTAAATGAACAGACTGCATATAGAATCTAATTTAAATTGAGAAGGCATGAATGATTTCTAACATTGGTACATCTTTTTAGCAGTACATGTTTATGATGTGCAATGATGCTTGAAAATTCAATGTTTTAAGTACAAAATCAATATTAAATCTCTGCTGTTTTCCCTGAATGTATATATAAATTCTGTTTATATGTATAATAGAATCATGATGATTTGCTATTATACCACCTATCTATAAAAAAGTAATTTTGGCACGATTGTATTTGACTTCTGCCATTTGATTGACAACAGAACACTGCTTTCAATATTTGAAATTTTGATGCATCATTAAAATTAACTGTATCTAAATTGAGTTAATTTCTTTTAATTGAAATGCATCAAATATTAATTTTCAATTATGCATCAAGTTATCTCCATTTCAAAGCCTGTTTCAATAAGGTATAAACTAATTTCCTTATGTATAATTTGAATTTCTCAACCATGAATACCGGTATAATTGATTTATATTTCGATTGTATTTACAGGTGAATTTCATATTATATTTCAATTGTATTCAATTCGTATATTTGTTACAGGTGATGTATGTGAGTTGGAGGAAGAAGACGTTCTAAAGAAAGCTCAGCAACACCTTCAGGCTTTGTCATCCTGCTTTGCACAACTTACACACAAAGCCCAAACCATCTTTCAAAATAATGCCAAGTTAGAGGTATGTTCTTTGCACTAGGGTCTCAATATATACTTATTACTACTGATTGTTCTTGCAATTTTATTATAGTTTATGGAAAAGTGCCTTGACTTAGTGGCCTATATTATATAGTATATAATACCGGTATACAATTTATATAATATACATTGTATATATTATAAAATGGAATGGTTTTCTTCATCTTGATATTTTGTTAACCATCTTCTTTCCTAAAAGTCCATTGGTGAACAATCATTGTTATTCCAGAAAAATCTAAATTAATAATAATAATAGGTAATAATAATAATAATAAATAAATAAGAGTAATCAAAATATGACCCAGTCTGCAATCAGGAAGTACCATTTGAAGAAAAAGAAAATAATTTTAAATTGATGTGAATTAGATTTTTTCCTATTCTGATGTAACATTTTGTACTGCAGGCTGAACTTGTACATCTGCGGAGAGAAGCATGTGAGGGCAAAGCTCAGCTCAAAGTATTGAAGGAGAAGCTAGACACATTAAGTATTCCACAACCCCCACCAGAAGCTGACCCTTTATCTTCTGATCCTAAAACTTCTGAAGTTGTTGTAAGTTACCATCAATAACTGAGATATTTTTACAATTAAATACAGTCATGTTTATCTATTGCTAATATACAAGGTCTACAAGGTATGTAGACCTTGCTTTCTTTGTTGGAGTTATTGTGTTTGTTATTGTATCAGGAGTCTTAATGCATAAGTGAGAGGTTGTCTTTACTCTTTAAGTTCTAGTTTATTCCTTTTTTAATTTATGCCAATTATGCAGTTTTTTATAATATAGTGAAATATGAATGTCTAATTTTCACACTATAGAGAAGTGGATAACATTTAGTATATGTATAACGTTGCATTGTATGTTTGCATTCACTGCTTAATTAATTTTCAGGTCTCTCAGGTAACAGGCATCCAAAATCAACTGCCAGAATTTATCCAAGCAGAAGAGGTAAGCTTGTGGACTGGAAGCATTTAATTATTTATAGCAGGATATTAGGAACTGATTTTATTTAAGAAAGGAAACTGTAGCATGTTTCATAAGAAATTACAGATGAGAATAACAATTTTATTGAAAAAATGGGTAGAACAGATATAGATGTTTTATCACTAACCTGAACATCATATTTAGTAGCAAATTTTTGCTCCTAATAAGAAGTCAATTAGTAAACAAATAAAAGAAACACACAATGATGTACAGCAATGTACATCTGGTACATTATTAGAAATGTTTATATTCACAGACGTATTTAAAAGTCTCAAACCATAATATTCTTCCTATACAAACAGTTATTCACTATTTGGTAGAGCAAGGTCAACTGTCAAATTTGACATTTTTCGATGGTCTCACTGGGTTGCTTGCATCGTCTCTCTTTGGATCTCAATATTTTCCCGCTAGATGGCCAAGACCTAGTGTTTTGGCAGTAGTTTGACACAAAAATGTATGACATCACCATTTCAACCATCAATGAATGCATGGAACTAAAACAAAGCTTAATATAAAGGAAAAACTAAAGAGGTGACGGAATTACCCATGATGTCGGAATATACCACGTTAACCCTACTAAATTTTCAGTGATCAGAGTGGAAATCTCTCAACTTCTCATGGGAGGTAGGGTAAGTACTTTTGTCGATCTGCCTTTTTGTTATCGCAGTTCAAGGCTCCAAGGCATTTGCCTTGAACTGTTGCTACGGCGGTCTCAACCTGGCTCACCACCCTTTTCAATGGTTTAAACCTGGCATGAACAATCCGGCCGAAATGAACAATCCCCCTTCGAATGATTAATGTGACCCCATGGGCCAGTGGGCCTTGACAACTCCCTGTTGTTCTTCACAACATTAGAACGTTGTCGTTCAAAGATTTACAATACTCTTACTATCACAATCAAAATTATTGTCAATATCACAATCAAAATTAATATAGCCCTATCAAAAATCTAATTCATGAATCACGATCATTGGCTACTTTTGTCCACTCTCAATCTCGTCACACTCCTGCCTTTGTGCTTGCCGGCCATTGGCAGAGCTTGCAGTGACGTCACCTTTGCCCATGTTTTCCATTGCACAACACAATGCAGCTGCACCATAGCCCGCCACAAATAAATAAATACTTAGTAATGGAAAATATGTTGCTGTAGCACTTCAAGATTGGGTCTAAACAGAATATGATATTATTATCTTAGTGTGATGTGCTAAACACTTGAGTACAGTAGTTCCTTTGCTTGCCACTGCTAGTGCTGCCATCTATATGTGGGCCATTTTAGACTTGAAATTTGCTTCCCTTATTAAATTTTATGCAATTGATTAGATAATTAATTTATTACAAGTTAGTACCGTATCCTATTTACATGATTTTATACCTATGTCAATCCAAATTTCATCACTCAATGCCTCTTGTAACTTGAAAATGAATGTTTGATACATATGAAAGGTTGTTAACAAAATAAAAATGTCCATTGGTACCCTGATTTTCGATTTACCAGTTTGAATGAAAAATATTGTTCAATATATTGAGAAAAACTAATGAGAAAATTGTCAATAAAACAAATTCTCTGGTCTCCAATGAAACCTTATTAATTAATACAGTGGGGGGAAATAAATATTCGTACACTTGAAAAATCGTATTTTAATGTATGTAAGTACACAAACTGAACAGGAGAAGTGATTTATATTATGTATAGAGACGCATAGTATTCAAAAATACTATCAAAAGAAATTAAATCTCAATGCAACAAAAAACATTGCAACATGTTCACTTTTCGGGTGAAAAAAGTATTCGTACAAAACAATAAATGAGACGTATAGAAATAGACTGGTATCTGTTGAGCTGAATAAAGGGTATTCAACCAAGTATTAAATTAAAATAATGCAGATTTATTGTTTTGTATGAATACTTTTTTCACCCAAAGAGTGAACATGTTGCATTGTTTTTTGTTGCATTGAGATTTAATTTCTTTTGATAGTATTTTTGAATACTATGTGTCTCTATACATAATATAAAACACTTCTCCTGTTCAGTTTGTGTACTTACATACATTAAAATACGATTTTTCAAGTGTACAAATATTTATTTCCCCCCACTGTATATATACCTATATGCTATATACATTGCCATATGGCCATGCTGTTGCTGCACATCCATGATTAAAACATTTTCAGTTATGGCTCAAAGCATCTTTTTCAATAATTTACTGCACAATGCACAGATTGAAGAAATGGAATTATAAATTTATTGTCCGTCTTACTGACTTGTAATTTGAGGCTTGAGCCTCAACTAGATTTTTCCTGCCATTTTTGGACTGCAAAATTCCTGCTAGATGAATTACCTCCCATGAGAAATTTTAAACTTCTCCTATAATTTCTTAAATTTCACTGATAAATAATCTTCCATGATAATACAGGGAATATAAAATGATTTTTTCTGAGGCACAGTGTGGTTGCCCTCTGTCCAGCTGTGTGGATAAGTTTATGTTGGGCACTGGGCAAACAAGCTCCTGGGACTCAATTATAAGCAGTTCTGAGCAGTGACTGGGTCTCACAGTGATACATACAAATCTAGTTATGTGCTGCCTGCTAATCAGGGTCTTTAGAATCTTCATGCACCTCAATCATTATTTCTCAAAACTTACAATGAACTTGATTCTCAGTTCCTTATTTTGTCAAAATGCCATACCGTAACATTTTTCTTTTGTTTGTTTTGCAACTACTATGCTTATTTTGCTATTGTAGGAAGTTTGCTACTGTTTTAAGAATGTAGCATTCTAAGCCAACTTGTATAGAATTTGTATCAAATACCGTAAAATGGGTTAACTTAGACTCCCGGGGTAACTTAGACCACTTTTCATTTTTTAACAAAAACCCCAAAACTCAAAAACTATTTGACATAGAAAAATTTTGTCAATGGGCATCAAAGGCCTAATACTGAGGCTACGTTACACAATAGAAAGATATAAAAAGTTTGCATATCTAATAGGTTAAAAAATTAAAAATGTGGCCCCATGAAAAAAAGCTATTATTTAAAGCCTGTCAGACCACCCCTCCAATTTTTTAATTTTTTTTTTTGGTAAAATAACTAGGTTTTGATGCATTGTAGTAGAACTCTTCTAGTTACATATACAAATGACAAATTTTAGGAAAGTGTCATAGTTTGCAAATGGAGGGTGCCATCCCCCAATGGGGGAACTTAGACCACCTAATGTCAGCCCTGACGGGGTAACATAGACCAGCTTGTAAATTAATTTAAAATTACCATATATAACATATTTCATGTTTGATACACCTATTATGTTTTTTCTTTATGTTTCAGACTCTACAGAGTCTTATATATGGTAATTTTTGCTTAATTTCCAAGCCGGTCAATATTACCCCTTCACGGCTGACATTAGGTGGCCAAAGTTCTCCCATTTGGAATTGGGGGCGGCACCCCCCATTTGCAAAGCTATGACATTTTCCTCAAATTTGTCATTTGCATCTGTAACTAGTAGAGTTCTACTAAAATGCACCAAAACCTGCAGTTATTTGGAGTTATTTTACCAAAAAATATAATTGATTTTACCACCTGGTCTAAGATACCCCAAGAACTGGGGTAACAAAGACCATCACTTTTTTTGAAATTACATAGAAACTATCAAAGGCAGGAGCCAGCAATTTATGGTGAGGGAACCTAGAGTATAGACCTGTATTTTGCATGTTTCAATTTAAGTTTAAGGGGAGCGTCTACCCTAAAATTGAAAATTTTCACTTTTTCGGTTTTTATACTCATTTTAAAGCTGACATTCTGCCCTATCCAACGGTACCACTGCCATCTCTCTACGTTGATTTATGATTTCATGACATTTCATGAAAGGGGGATGGGTGGGGAGTTCTTTAAGTAATTAGATAGGAACTAATTAGCTGCTGAGCTCTTTAACCCATTAATGACGAGAATTATTTACTGAATTTTTTTTTGGTTCCTTGTGAGAATATTATCATTTGTGATGGTAATAAACAAAAAATATGTTCATATATTTATTTTTCGTTGTATGTGAAAAA